TTTTAATTTTGTAGCTGTGGTGGCGTGATCTAGTTTACCCAATTGAAGATGGTATTTCATGTGACCAATCACAACTAGTGGGGGAAATTAGGGCACCCAAAATTTTGGAGATATATATAACTCAATATTTAAATCATATAAAAAAAAGGAAATTCACTTTGCTAAAAAATAGGATATACGGAATTTTTGATTTTGACACTGCATCAATTTACGGTAATTAACAACGTTTTTTCATAAAGTATAATAAATTATCTTAAAATTAGAAATTGTAGATACTTTTTCCCCTTACAGTAGATTACAATTAATTTATTATGCAGTAATATAATTTTATTTCACCAGTCTGATGGATGTCTGTGTTAATATTCCATAAAGTCATTATCTCCCATTATTAGGATAATCCCCGATCACTATTCAAGATCACGGGAGGATTAATTAATAATACCCTGACCGTATGTGAATTAGCGGAAACTTCGTCTCCGCTAATTATCAACGGATCAGGATATTACAGTCAGGGATTTTTCAAAGTTGTGTAACGCAAATCATTGCGTTTTTTGGTAAAGATTTGCAATTCCGTAGTACAAATTTTGGCCAAGCATTGTTACACATGTTATTTAGTGCAAACCCGCCTCAGGGATCCCCAGGGATTCCTAAACTACATAGCCTTAGGATACTTTTTGTAAAAAAAATTTAAAGGATTTTTTAAAACTGATGGTTATTTTCAGATAATAAAAAATGCTTTTGTTTTTTCAATTGAAATTGGGTTTTAGAATACCCTTCTAATATATTTGCAGATCATTTCCATATCGCGTATAATCCTAGACTGTATTATTATTACTAATCTCCCCAGGTTAGAGTACGTCACTGGGAAGATTGATTTCCTTATCAAAATCAAGCTTTTTTTTTAAAACCTCAAGAGAACGTCATATAAAGTATTTATTTATTTGTTTTCCATTGTTGCATTAACTGATATATTCAGGACAATGTCCAAATAAATTTAATTGGACATTTGGACAATGTCCAAAAAATAGTAAAATTATTGGACATAAGTTCAATTGTCTAATATTTATTGGACAATTTTAATAATATGACGGCGAAAGCTTTATTGCTTTTACTTCAATAATATGACGGCGAAAGCTTTATTGCTTTTAACTTCAGTAATGACGTTTATTAATTTATTTTTATTTCACATAAATTTTCTTATTCTTTAATTTACAATGATAATTTATTAATGAATATCTTTATTTTAAGTGTCGACCTTGGCTAATTTATTTTATTTGGTGTGTTTTCTCTTATAATATGCCTTTATTTTAAAAATTAATAAATAAAATTAACCTGTTGTCATTATTATTTTTGAAATATAAATAAATCATTTTACAGTTTCTAACATTCTGTTTGATTAATCATATTTCACTAGGACAATACCAAATATATATATTTAAACTATCTGTGGATATGTACGTACATATATAAACATGTTGTAAGTAAAATAAGTAAAATGGGAATTTAAGTTGATCCGGTAATGTGAATACTTATGTACGTGTGCAAGTTTTATAAAAAAAATAATTATCAGTATACTTTTTTTTAAAATATACAGTAAATTAGAGATATTTTGTATTAGCGAATATTGGCCAAATTAAATTTAATTTAGGCCAAAGTTAATTTATTTTTTTTTATGCCCAATAAAAATTTACTACGTCCAATCAAATTGTTTGGACAATTGGACATTGTCCAAATGTCCCAAATTGTCCAATTGTCCAAATGTCCCAAATTGTCCAATTGTCCAAATTGTCCAAATGTCGAAATTGTCCAAATACCCAAATTGTCCAAATGTCCAATATCTTAACATGCCACCTCTAGATATATTTGTTGGAGTAAGATCTTATTTATTAAAGACCCAGGATTGTCCTCGTTAAATTTATTTTGAGTTGCAGATTGACATTTTGGAAGATTTTTGTAACGTTAAAAAACGATAAATTTATGTATTTTAGGAGCAGTGAAAACTGAAAGTCTGCCATGATCCCGGTGCTATGATAGAGAGGTCCGACTGTATATGATTTACGATGGATATATTGTACGTACCACACGAAGGGACGATTGTGTTCTACGAAATTTACCAGGACATCTGTGGTTTACTATTATAATATAAAGAGTAATTCTTTTTCTAAAGCTTTTTGTGAATTCTAAAATTCTTATGGATATGATGAATTTGATTATCGCGGTTTTTCGAAATAGTATACTCATATACCGGCTGCACCTTTAACAATTAGACGTGTAATTGTTTTTGGTAAACAATAAGCACGTATACATAGTATACGAGTAAACACCAAAAAAATTCTTTTTCCCTGATTTCTACCGCGATAATTTGAGTCAGCTTACCGGTCACAATACGATAATTTATTCTTTCACAAAAAAAATAATTTCTCGCATCAGTACGTACAGTATGTGCATATGTACAGAACTTACAAAACATTGCATATGTTATCTTGTCCTGATACTAAGTGATATATCATTGTGAATTTGATGACTATAGCTTTCAATTAAAAAAAAAAAATCGGAAATATATTTTAAGTTTATATCCTACAATTAGAAAAAAAATTTTTTTAGAACCAGCCATTTAAGAAGTTTTGCAATTTAGTTACTTTTGTAATTTTTTCATAGACTAAAAATTTACTACAGCAAACCAGGCGACAGATTAATTAATTACTATTATTGTTTTATTTACTTATTTATACTTAAAGGTAGCATTTTATTTAAAATAGCATAATTCAATTATAAACTTATAAATACCATAAGAATTTTGTTAATAATCTATCAGCAACGGTCTCTTTTAAAACATAAACAGAAATATGCCTTGTCCTGGTAAAAATTGGGTTAGTGGTATAACATGGTATTCACCTAATTTTGCACAACCGGGATGAAGAATGTTATAATCAATTTATAAGAAACACACCTTTGAGTGTATATGGAATTCAAAGTGGTATTTGTGATTTTCACCCAATGTACAACTGCGCTGCGATGGTCCGCCGCTGCAAGTAAAAATGATATAGGTACATTTAGAGTGTATATAGAACGTATTCGTGAGATACGAACTCGTCTAGTTCAATTAAAAGACCTTATTTCTCTATAAACAAAACGAAATGGTGCACCAGTAGGTTCAAAGTTTAGTCTTCAAGAGCAAGTTGTTGGTCTAGAGCTTATAGGTAATTTTCCGTCGTGACAATATTACTTTAATGGTAAATTGTATCCCAATGCCAGTACTGTTGAAGTTGTTCAAATGCAAATCCAAATAGATGAATCTTCAACAATAGGGGGTTTCAAAGTTAACAAATAAGTGACGCATTTCAAAATAAATAGGATTTTTTCAATAGTATTTTTACTATGTTGAATTATAAATCGGAAAAATAAAATGAGATTCTCTGATTTTAACTTTGAAACCCCCTAATTATTTATTTAATAGAAATGAGACAATGGGAATTTGAACTCATGGTATTAATTACCTTTCTTTTTCTTAAATGTGAATACAGCATATCTTAGTTTTATACGTTATATTACTCTATATATTGTGATTTTAATGTGTATGTATCCTTGGCAAATTTCAGAAATAACTTTACCCAATTTTTATGTAATTACTTATAATTAGATTGATTAACCAATATTTTTTTTTCAAACTTTAGGTTTATAATTTTTTTTAAACACATACATTTGTTTTAGAGTGTCGAATTTGTGCTATTTACTTATTTGTTTTTATTTACTTATTTGTTCTGTGTAAATATACTTCTTAAAGTTTTAAGTATGGAATAAATGTATAGATTCTCATATACATATTTCATTGATAATTAGTGTATGTTCAAGGTCATAAGGATCTAACTTAGTTGAATTTTTATAGTGAAACAGATTATTAAAGGCTTTTTTCGTTATACTTTTTGAGAAAGGTTTAAGCACTACAAAGTTTATCGACCATGTACTGATCGTACATCCGATTTACTTTATTTTATTTTTTTCGCTATTCAAAACAAACTTTAATTTTTTGTCATCACAACGCCTGCACCGTAAACTAGAGATGGAAAATATTTTAAAACGGAATGTTAAAAAACATGATTGTTTGATTTAAAACTGTTTTTAAATGATTTAATACATTCTGACTTAATCATAATACGTAACAATGGGATAGTATTTATTTATTTAACTAATTTCATCAAAATACAACTTTATTGTTATCTCTTTTTAAAATATAAAATTATAAACAATCATGCTTCGACCTCCATTAAAAGAAATTCGCTTGAACTTACAAAAGTTAAGAAAACTGCGCCTCGCCAAAAGTGTAACCACTGTGGAGAGGACTTTGTGAATTTAGTTGTTTGATTAAAGGATCACTAATATAGATGCAAAAGGTTTCCAAAAAGTATGAAAAATTTATTAAATAATGAACGGGTAAAAAAACTTGTTGCAGTTTAAGAATTCAAAAAGGAATTGAGATTGATAGTTGGTTCGAAGATGACAATAATTAAATTTATAGTTATGCATTGAATTAAAAATAAAAAAAATTATATATGTATAAATAGTTAAGCAATTGCGCATTTCTTGTAATTATATAATAGCGAAAGTTTAAAAAGTGAATATTTTTCTTTAAAGTTATCTCTATAAAATTTGATGAATAAGCATTTTAACGCTAAATTTTAAATTTTAGTCTCAGCGCCAATGGTTTAAAAAGTTTTAAAAGTTTTCTAAAAGGTTTAAAACATCTAAAAAACTGGTTAACCCGTTTTTTTTCATCCCTACCGTATACCCTGTACTACATAACATATTTCTAATTGTTTAAAAAAATGTTTATACATATTTTTAGTTTAATATGGTGACATCCATAATTTACGTTAAACCAGTACAGTATTTTAAAAAAATAGAAACCTTGAAGATAATTCCATATACAGTAGTATTATTTTTGTATTATCTTTAAGGTCCCTATAACAATACTGGTTTAACGTAAATTATGGATGTCCCTTATGAAAATAAAAACAAAGGTTTTTTTTTACAGTACAGCAGATCTCAATTTTTTTTAATTATAATTATTGATATAATACTTATTATTCTCTATGTACAAAAATCTTATAATACAGTATACTATATTTGGTAGTTTTAATATAATTCCAATTAGAACGTTAAATTGCATTGTTTAAATATTTTTTCTAGGGATGTTAATCGGTTCTAAAAAATTGGCATTTTTAACTGGATTTGTCTAGTACAGTAACGGTAATAAGTAAAGTTATAGAAAAGTAATTTTTGAGTAATTTAGATGGGGGCCGAACAGTTTGGAGAAAATTTAGCTGATCAGTCCCTAATAGGTTCCATTTAAATTATTCAAAACTAATGTAAAAACCGATAAACTTCTACTAGAAAAAAATTATTTTTCTGACTTTATTTATTAGACGATTTTTTTCTTTTTTGATTGGTATGATCTACAAAAACGTGATTTCTTGGATTTTTCAAAAATTATTTAAATGTAGATCTCCCCTTTTTCTATTGAATAGCGCTCAGGAAACGCGAAACAGCATAGATCGTGAACCGCGTCTTTTTTCAACAACTCATTTTAAATTTCTTGCTGACTCATCTACACGTCGCGTTCATGACTACTTCAAGAAGGAAAAAGCTTCTAATTGGTGTCTTCAAAGCTACATTATGTATATTATTAATACCGAAATTATCGATTATTATCAAGCTCTTGTACTGTTCTTTGAGAGTTTAGATCAGTTAAATCGACTTATATCTATTCCCCTTCCAATCAAAGCTTTCTGTTTCAATTATATTTCCTGGTTAAAGGTATAGTATTTTTGTTGTAATTATCGGTTAATGTAGAAACAGTTCTCACAAATCATAACAGTCTTATACAGGAATTGCTACTATTAAAGCTTGTCGCAAATTCTTTGATGCCAAGGCAGTGCAAAGTCTGTCTGCTTCCATCTACAATACCGTTGAGGTAGATAAATATTCTTAATCCACACGTTTTAATCAGGGTGTTCACATTTTATATTCTGTATTATCGCCTTGCAGACTACAATATGTCTTAACGCGAAGACAGAAGCCCTCCAAGCTCATATACAATCAAAATCTTTAATATCATCTAAAACTCCTCCTCAAACTTATCAGAATTTAAAATTAACGCATTTAAAGACAACTTCTAATAAGCGACCATTAAAAAAGGATGAAGTTCAACAGTAAGCCTGATTTTTTTACATGTAACAAATGAAATATATTCTAACAATATCATACCTACATAATTTCTGGTAACAGGTACTCCTAAGATATCTCTATAATATGTGCATTCACGATGACAAATGATGAATTGATAAAAGAAATCAGCAAGAAATTATTTGAGGAGTTATCTTCTATACATACCATCAACCCACCCGTTTGGACACCTGCCCTGGAGAAATATATTGATAATATTCTCAATGTAAGATCTATCTATCCACAGGATCGTTTTTTACATCATCTAAATGCATATTTCATACATATTATAGAAATCCAAGAATGATTTTAAGAGGGCGGTTCTGGATGATAATCCAGACACTGGAGATGAATTATTCTAGTTGTATTGTGAGAAGGTTCTTCTAGATTTGTATGTTGTTATTAATATCTGTTTATCAATTAATCAAAGGTATACTAACCGTTGCATTTCACTTGCAAAAAAAGTTATCATCTTTTTGACATTCAAACAACCATGCCTCGAAATATAGGCGAACGCAAATATATTATTTACCATGTTTCTTATCTATACAAGTTTTATGAAACTACATTTACGTATCTATCTTTTGACTGGATAGAATCACATGCCCGTTCCGCAAAAATGGTAAAATCATCTAAATGTTCGGGGATTGTGCAAGTTGATGCAAAAGCAACCAGATATTTGGACGGTCTCGATGTATGGCATATGGAAGTTGCTGGTCCTTCTTATAATGCTGCCAATGACCATATTGTTAATGACACAAAAAAGTCTCTCCGTACAGATCTCTTGAACTTGATAATGATACTGCGGAACCACCTAGATTGTGATGTGAACATTGCAACTAAAATAAAGGTGTTCTGCACCCAGGCAATCAGTAAGTGACGTTGTATATGTGATATATATTTTGGTTACAAAATCTGATACTTATAATGTTATTTTATCCCCTTAGAAACCAGGTTAACTCTTTATGCATTAAATATGCTCCCTGATGGTCGTTTTCTTTCATCTGAGCTCGCCTCTGTTGACATTCCATTCAGCTTCAATGGTAAAAGTCAATATAAATCCATACTTAGAATGATGGCAATATTTCATGTATGTGTTAACAATAAATCACTTGTACAAAATATTATTTATACCATTTAACGTTTATAACTTCTATTTATGTGTTTGTCTGATCATAGGATGAGATTACAAAACAGGAGACGCTAATTAATGAGATTAATAAATGTGTACTTCGATCAAACGGAACGACTGTTCGTGAGGTGTTAAAAATACCTGAATTGGAATAATCATTTATTCTTTTCACTTAATTCATTTTTCTCGCGTGTTTAAGCAAATAAAGTTATCAAATTTAATATGTATATACCAGTTTGGGATATATTATAAGTAGGGTTGGTACGGAGTCAATCTTGACCAGACTAATTTGATCAATTTTGATCGGTCCGGTTCAAAGGTTTAATACCGGTCAAATTATACATATATATATATATACTCCACATTTGCGTGTAATAACGCGCATGAACGTTATTTTGAAATTTCAACTTTGATTTGACTCATATAATATATTTGTTATACCACATTTGAACCTAATTTATTGGCATATATAGCTAACACATATCTTTGTTATACTGAAATTCTGTAGATGCTACGGCGGGATCTCAATATCTCAAATCGAGTTTCGGCATAGTATCACTGGATCACGAAATCACGGGTAATTCGGGTTATAAGCGATTTTGGCATAACTTTAGGGTGATCTCTTTCTTTCTTACAAACGGGCATGCAATTGATACGATTTACTAATAACTGTGGTAACAAGGGAATATAGAGTTGTTGGATAATTTTCACTCTACCTTTTCGAAGTTTTGGCTCCAAAGTTGTGGTCTATTGAGGTAAAGGTCGTTCTTTTATACTTTCTTTTGCATATACCCTTTAACAATTACCAAGTTTTCTTAAATTTTCAAAATTTTACAAAAATCGTAAAATTGAAATCAAAAAAAAAGGGTGTCGCGGGATCATAATGAAATCGGATTAAAATGAAATGAAGGTTTTCTATTTAACCTACTTATACTTGTTTGTTATAATCTCTACCTTAAAACTAATCTCTAACCATAAACCCTAACCCTAAAAAAATGTACCTCAAAAATTTTATTTTTTGGTGGCTTGTCTATTTTTTACATTGTTTAATATTTCGTTTTAATCCGTCACATTTAATTAATAGACCTAACCATTTGATCAAGGCCAGTTTGACCAGAGACCATTGACCAGCTAATTTTAGATTTGATCAATTCTTTACCCACACGTTCATGCCGGTTCATCTGAACGGTGAATGATGCTGGAAGTGCGATGGGGAAGATAATCACTTAGTCATCTGACGGTGACCTCCTCAACGCAATCCTGCCTGCTAGTTTAACTATCTGGTGATTAGTCGGCAGAGGTACAAGCAGGAAGACCTCATTTAGTCATCTGACGATGAATTTTTTGCTTGTAAAGGTAGGCCACTAAGTTTCGTTTAGCCATCTGACGGCGAACTGGTGGAAGTTTTATCATCTGGCGTTTTATCGTTATATATATATTGTGATAATATTATGTCACGGGCTAGATTGACATCATAGTCAAACAAGTTTATAATTTAGAGCCGAAGGCTTAGATAATTTATAATATATCTCGGTGATAAGCAGATCTCGGCCGATAGAATTAAGCCACTATACAATAAGGTGAGTTATGTTTAAGCCTCATTAGTCCTTTTAATGTTATATAAAGGACGTAACTTAGATAAGGTTGGTTACGACACTTATGTGCGAGGAAGGGGCACATAAGCTCACTAACCCGATAATAATTCCCTTATATTAATGAATCAAATCACCAACGTCACACTGGGGTACTATGTAGATCAAATATATGCATAGTCTCATAGTAAAAATCACTAGTAAATTTTTGTATAACGAAGGATGGTTTATATTAAAAAACCTGAATTTCGACAAATTTTATCAAATTCATTACAAATTTAATATGGTTTTAAAAAAATCGCTCTTTTTTTCCAAAATATAAGGTTTGCTGAGCAATTGAGTAAAATTTTTAAAGAAGTTAATATGTAAATTATTGAAGAGATATGGTTTGAATTTCAGTAAATTTTAAGTGTTTTTATAAGATGATGTTAATTTCAAACTGTATCTTAATATTTTACATACTAATTTCTTTAAAAATTTTATTCAATTGCTTAGTAGACTATATTTTAGACAAAAAAGGTGCTTTTTTGAATTTAAATTTTATTTAGTTTTAAAATTTAAAAAATGTTTTATACTTGTTATATTATCATACAGGTGACAATTTACTAACAACATATACCTGCATCTAATTAAATGCTAAACCTAACTCTATGTGATGTTGATTTATTGTACTACAATGTGTTACAATTAATTAATAATCAATATATACAAGCCACTCTAACAAAATAAAATATATAAAACAACCTGCTTTTTAATTAGGGATGTTAAAAGTTCGGTTCAGTCCAGTTCAGTCCTGTTTCATAAAAGTTCAAGTTTAGAAACAGTTCAAAGATGAGTTCAAAAAATATCATGTGAAAGTCACACTCAAGTTCCAAAAATATCATCTAAACTTAGTTTCGAGCTTTTTATTTAAGTAAGAAATTTAATAGATCTTTACAATCTTTACAATTTAGAAAAATACAATACAACAGTTGAATATTCTAACCTTTAAAAAAATACTACCATTAAACTAATACTAATGCTAAACTAATTTTATTAAACTTTATACTTCAAGTTTTTTAATTACACCAGATTCATACTAACTTTTAAGGCAGAGAGTTGCCCATGCTTTTTCTGGATCTAAACAATTACATAAAGAGTTTATGGTATGTTTGGCAACTAAGAATACCTGCTTGCTAGTAGCCTGTATGCACAGATAGTCTTGAGCATTTTTGCAATATTTTTGTAATTTTGATTATTTGCATGAGCTTTCCACTATGATAATACTTCACAATCAACTTCTGCTGATATAAGATAATTTCATAATTTACTTATTACACCAGAAGAATCAAATGAATGCTTAAGGGCCTTTTTGAAATAATCACAGAAAGCTAATTGTAAAGTATCTGTTTGGGATGATAAACTGGCATTAGAGATAATATATTTTGAATAGAGATTTCTATATATTGTTGAGCTTTATGTTTTTTTCTGCATCATATAATGAAAGCTTAATGTTTGGATCAAGAAGAGCAATCATAAAGGATGATTGATCCAATTTTTGCCAATACTTGTCAGATTTAATTGCCATGGCTGTTGCAACGAGTTTTGGTGTAGTTTCTTCAACAGTATTATTGATAATTTCTTCAAGAGATTTTTTAATTGTGATAAATATTAAATGAAGATCTTCTAAAGTTGGATAACTGATAATGAGAGCATTAAGATTGCTTGGTAAATGGGTTAAGGAGATTATAAATTTTCTATATAATTATATTTAAAAAAAATTAAAAAAAAAATAAAATAATAATAAAAAAAAGAAAAAAAAGTACCTCGATTTTTGACTATTCTAATTTAGTTGGATAATTTGACTTTAATAAATTATTTAATGCAATAAGAATATCAGTTATATCTCTGATTTTTTTTAATTTTTCAATCATTAAAAATATACTATTCCAATGGGTTGGAATATCTAGATCAGGTACAGTCAAACCTCTATAAATGCAATGTGTACAGACTAGCTTCAATTATGTATTTAGGGAGGTTTGTATTAGGAATGGCATTAGCTTATAATAAGCTAGCTCAGCCATAGTTTTTGAGCCAGGTCATCAAGCTGGCTCAAGCTAGCTTGGAGCTGATGTGATAAAATCGAATTTGTCATGTGATAAATTTGATTATATCATATTAATTCGAATTTGTTATGTGACAAATTCGATTTTATCATCTTAATTCAATTTTATCGTGTGCCAAATTCGAATTTGTCACATATCACGTGAGCCAGCTCAAGCCGATGCCATTTCTAGTTTGCATTTAAAGAAAGCCAATCAAATTGCAGCTTTTAATATTTGATCTGCAGGCTTGTATAACATAACTTGAATACTGAATTCTGATTGGATACATGCATTTAGAGAGGTTAGTATGATATAGAAAATCTTTTGAGTGAATATGCATTTGCAGAATATAGAACGTACATTTAGCACTAATAATTTCTTATAGCCAGGCCAGAAATGTGCATTTAGAGAGGTATTGCATTTAGAGAGGTTGCATTTATGGAGGTTTGACTATACAAGAAACTTTTTAAATTTTATTTTAAATATTTTTTTTAATTCTCTAAAAATTGGTTAAGAATTACATATAGTAGATGCGAAGGTTCTTGCTTTTTTAATAGAAGTATTAACAAGTTTTAATCCTTTTGTGATGATTAAGTTTAAACTATAGGTGGTGCAATGAAAATGCTGGAAATCATAATTATTAAATTCTTCTTAAAGGCTTTGTTGTAAATAATAAGCAAAAGTAATCATGTTGGCTGTATTATTAGTTGTTGCAGCAATTATTTTTTCTCCAATTCTATAAAAACTAATAATTTCTAATATGGCATTTGAAATATTTAATTCTATATGATTATTTTTAACAGGTACAAAATCAAGAAGCAATTTTTGTTCACTCCAATTATCATTAATCTAGTGAAGCATTATGAATAAATAATCACTATTATTGCAAGCAGTCCATAAATCAGTTGTAATAGCTAATTTTCTTGTTGTTTTTAAAAAATCTTTTAATAATAATTGTTGTTTTTTATAAATTGCTTTGATTTGATTTGATATAGTTTGCCGAGATGGTAATTAATACCGTTTATTAAGTTCTTCAATTAATTTAACGTAACTAGAATCTTTAACAACTATGAAAGATTGTTGATTACAAATAATCCACTTTATAAGCAGATAAGTGATATGTTTAATCTTTGATTCATTATTTATTCCATAAGGTTAAATCATTTTGGTTTTTTAATTTCCAACTCTACTTTGTTATAAATATCAATATGATATTTTTTAAAATGAGATTTAATTGTGCTAATTTTTGTTGATTTTTGCCATTGTAATGGAGAACATTGTCCTTTATATGGTATATAGCAAACATAAAGACTGGATTCACTTGGTTCAAGATATTCACATAAAGGATGAGGTTTTTTACGTTTTTTATTTGATAAATTATCAAATAATGATTCTATGGTTAAAGAATCTACTTTTAATTCTTTTTGCAAAGAATCATGTATTTCATTATATAAAGAGTCTTGTTTTTCAATAATATTAGTATCATTATTAATATTATCCATAATGCAAAAATTTAACATTCAAAAGTAAAAACTTTCTCTTTAAATAAAAATTAATTTTATTATTTTAATCGTATTTATTTCTATATAATGGCTTTTGTCTTTTATATTTTTTATGTTCGAATTTATAATCATGTGATTAATATGAGGTTTAAACAATAACCAAATTTCTATAATAAGAAACAATAAACCATTTGAACAAAACCGTTTACCAAATTAAGAACAATAAACTGTTCAAACAAAAACTATTTGCCAAATTAAGAACATAAACTTTAAATAAGAACTAATTGTTAAATTAAAAACAATAAATTAGTTTAGAAACATCAAACAAAAGCCGTTTGCCAATCTAAGAGCTATAAGCTAGTTTGAAATTTGTGTCTTTTCTAATTTAAGTTTGAACTGAAGTTTTGAACAAAAATCAAACTACAAACTTAATGAACACAATAAGCAGTTTGAAACTTAAGTTTTTTCGAACCACTTAACATCCTTATTTTTAATTTTATTAAAAATTCTGTTTTTCAGAATTATTTACATAAAATTGCAAATTTGTACAATCTAAAATAAAAAATTAGCAATTTAAAAATCTAAATTTATATCTATTCAAGTGCTTGTTATCTGCTTTTTCGAGTTCTTGGTCTCTTTTAATATTGTCTAATCCAACCCTTTTAATATTGTCTATTGTAGCTTAAACTTTCTATATTTTTACTATTAAATTATCATTGATCTACAGTACACTATAAAAAAATCTTGAATTATCATTAACAAAAAAAAATACTATGCTACTCAATTTGATTACACAAGGTTTTACAAACTAGGTTTTATAAAACTGGTTGTATTGTATATTAAAAAAAAAATCTTCTCTAATTCCTAACCCTAAATAGTATAAAAAAATAAAAAAATGCTACTCAATTTGTGGCTACTTTTGGAAATTTTGATTATACAAAATTTTACAAATTGAGAAACTCTAAGTTTTATGAAATTGGTTGCATTGTATATTATACTATGTCAATGGGTATTTCAAAGAAAATGTTTGTTTTTATCTTGAGGTAGGACCATCTTGAGTATGCCCCAAGTTTGTAAATTGTTACACAAACAATTTAATAGTTTTAGAATTTTTTTTATGTTTTACAATACTTTTTTCGGAAACCTGAATAGATTATTTCTTTTGTGAAATAGTTTAAGTCTACTAAGCAAATTTGAAGCTTTTGTGCTAAACTATAATAATATCAACTTAAACTCTCTTAATCTCATGATCTTTATATTAGATTTGTTTATTGAAAAAATAGCTGACTCTAAGTGTTGTATGAATTGCTAAATTACTGAATCAAAAAAATTTCACTCTTTAAAAGATAAAAAGTGGAAGGAAGCAAAAAATAATAATTGAATTAAAGAAATGTAGGTGAAAGGTGGTAAATTATATTATAATTGCTATGTGAATTTTGTAGAAAATCCATTACAAAGATTATAAAGAAAAGCAAAATAAGTAAGAATCTTAGTTGAAGAAGTTGAGAAAAAGTTATATATAAAGATATAGGAACTACAATTGAAGATATAGAGATCATGAATGAGATGGTAGGTATGTTTGACCTTATCAGGACTATTGAGGCTATAACAAGAATTTTCTACAAAAGAGAACATGTAAAAAAGGAAGGTTTTATTTAGTCATATAATAAACTGCAGGAGGTATTTTAAACAAATATAGGTTTGGAAAAGTTTTTTGATCAACTTTATTTAGTAGCTAGGCTATTTAAAACACAATGAGCAAACTATGAATTATATAAAAAAATTAATAGTTTATATTTGTTATTTTCTTGCATCATTAAACAATATTAAAATCAATTTCTTAGACACTACAGGTATCTTAACAAACACAAGCACCCTGAATAAAAACCAGGTTCAGACACAGGTGGTACCAATAGATAGGGAAAAACTAGTTAAACGAATCAATATAGCAACACACAATATAAATGTCTAATGTACACAGATATAAGTTAGACATGTTGCTAAATTGGGGTGATAAAAAAGGTTTTAATATAATAGGGATAACAGAAATGAATTTGCAAGAAATAGAGACAAGATACATTCTTAGAAATAATATTAGTTTTAGAGGGATTTGGTCACTAGCTTCGAAAACAAAAAAAAATGAATTCGGTGTAGATTTGTTAGTAAGAGAAGAATTAGAGAAACATGTTGGCAAAATTGAAAAACCTGCTAGTGGTGCATTTTTATTTTAAAAGATACAAGTTAATAATAATTGCACTATATAATCCACCAAATAATATAGAGGTGGCAAAAGAGTTATTAGCTATAGTTCAAAGTAGAATAAACGAAGCACAAGATGATGCATTAATAGTAGTTTTGGGAGATTTTAATTACGTAGTTGACCCAGCGTTAGACAAATCATTACAAATTGATAATAATAGAAGACTATCAATGCACACTTAGTTTAAAGAGAAGGGTTTCCTGGACATTTTTGGATTTTTTAACCCATACAAAAAGAAGTTCACTTGGAGCAATAGTTTAGTAGCAACAAAAATAGATCAAATTTGGTCATTAAGTAATATGATAGATATGTTGCAAGAGGCAAAAATTTGTAATATGTCAATTGTAACTAGAAGCAATTATGATCTCATATTTGTAAAATGTAAATAGAGTCCAGATGCTGTATCAAATAGTCAAACAAGAGAAGGGGTACCCGGTACCAAACAAAAAGTTTGAAAACTCAAGAAGGCTACAAAAGAAAACTAGGATGATTACTATGAAGATTTATAAAAAGGGCTAAATAATAGAGCACTATCTGCACTAAAGAAAAACACACTAGCTACAAATTCAGAATCTCTTGACCAAATAGAGGCAAACTTGAACCAAATGTGGTCTTTAATAGAAAAAGCAATTCTTAAAGCAGGCCAAAAAAATTTGCCAAAAAAGGTGATAGATTTTGGGAAAAAACCTAATACTACAAAAAAGAAAAACAAGTTTTTTAAAGCAGCTTTTATGCTAGGCAAAATAGTTAAAGAAACAAAATCAACAAGCGAAGAAGAGCTCTATAAAAAGTCATAGCAATGGAATAAAAGAATTAAGCAAATCAATATATGGGCAGATAGTAGTGTTAAAGAAGTTAAAATACAAAATTTGTCAGAATGGCAAGAAGATACAATAATCTGGTGAAAAGTAATTAAGGATAAGCTAGTAGTAAATAGCAAAAAGATTAAGAAAAAAGAAATACTACAATATATACAAAAAGAGCTAAGCAAATCATAAAGAAGCAAAAGAAAATGCTAGCAAGCCTGTTAGAGCGACCCTACTGTAAAGTAGTTTTAGATAGAGTATATATGTCGTGCCTCAGATCAATTCTTGCGTCAGATTAAAACCGGCCTAAGTTAGATTAGGGTTAGGGTAAGAATCTGGGAAGGATTTGGGCTTAATTTAAGTCAATCAATATCGATCAGTTAATGCGGGCCAAAAAGTTGACATCTGACGCAAGCATTAATCTGAGGCACAACATATACACAAAACCAGAAGTTAATAAATCTTTTGACTAGCCCGGCAGAAGTCCTGGAAGAAGTTCGGTCGCATTTTCAGAACTAGTTTATAAGTAGAAAAAATGTTAGTGCTGAGATAGAGAATTTATAGTCCGAAGAATATCAGCCAAAAGATTGTATTTTATAAGCTTGGTACAATTCAGTAATGCAACCGATTACATTAAATGAATGGCAGCTAATATTAAACAAAAGTAAGACGAACTCAGCACCAGAAATGTCAACAATCACATATACACTTCTTAAACAGGCAAATACAAAAACACAGCAAGTTTTCAAAAACTTTACAGAAGCATGTTTACGAGTTGGTAATGTGCCAAGCAAATAAAAAACAACCCAAGTATATCCAATTTCAAAGGGGCAAAACTGGGAGTATAATTTGGATAAGGTTAGACTAATTGCCCTAGTAGAAGTTTTCAGAAAAGGTATTACAAAAGTTTAACAAAAAGATTAAACAAGATTATTAAAGAAAATGAGATCTTTCAAAGCTCCAATTTTGCAGGGTTACTAGAAAATTCTACAGAAGAGCCAGTACATATCCTTAAGGCCTTACTCAAAGATGCAGAAGAAAACCAACAAGAATTGTAGGTCCTGTTCCAGGATATGAAGAAGGCCTTTGACTCTGTAAATCTCACCATGTTGCAAATAGTGCTAAAAAGGATCAAGATTCCAGATATATACTGTGGACTAATTTATAACTTATTCGAAAATAGAAGGCTAAAGGTTATAACAGCATATGGTTTAACTTGAGAAATTAGAGCAGAAGGAGGTATCAATCAAGATGGAGCAATCTTATCTCTTCTTTGAAGAATTTTTTATAATCCTTTGTTAGATAAGATATAGAAAAATAAAAGCTTGGGGTATAGAATAAAAGTACTAGCACAAATGGAAGATCTGTTAAAAATTAAAAAACCAAAAAGTATCAGGCAAGTGGTCCTTACATATGCTGATGACACCACATAGATTGCAAGTTCAAAGGATCAGCTAGAGTAAACAATTCAAATAGCAGACCAGTTTTTTCAGCTAAATGGCATAGAAATTAATAGCAATAAATCAAAATTAGTAGTGCTAAACTCAAAGCTTCCAATTGTTAATAAACAAGTAGTATACAGAAATGCACTGGTTAAAGCGAGCAAGAAGCTACATGAACTACGGTTTCTTGGAACCTTCCTTCATATTAAGAAGAAAGTAGTAGAAAACAAAAAGAAAATAAAGCAAATTGTGAGGTTGTTTACTTGTAAATTAGAGAAGAGAAAATCTACGGCAAGCCAGTTAGTGTATATAAACAACCAGGTTCTAATTTCCAAGTTAAAGTATATTCTACAAACTGTAGTATTAACAAAAAGTGAATTGAATACAATCTACCAACCTTTTTTACAGTTAATAAAGAAAAAGTTAGGAATAGCACAAATAGTACCAAATAGTATTCTAGCATATGGAGTACATTAGAAACCAAACTGCTTGCAAGTGCAGTATTAGCAAAACAGACAACAGCTCTTTTTAAAAGACTAAATAGTACTGGTATAATAGAAAACATTACTAAAATGAGAATTAGACAGGGAATTCTAGAAAAAAGCATAGTATATAATGTCTGGAGAGACTTTCTGAGTAAGGCAAACTATAACTGCAAAGGCAATATTGCACTTAATACAATAGAACAATGCAAAAAAATAAATATATTTTTTAACACAGAAGAAAAAGGCTGGAGTATATGTGGTTCAGGATCAACAATTACAAGTATATTAAGTCCTTTGCAGAGGAAAAAGAGTAGAAAACAGCAAGCAAGTTTGGGAATTTACTTCATTAATAAGATACTAGATGTAAAAGGTAAAAACTTGCTGACATGGCAGCAAGTAAAGGTATTAAAAAATCATAGTTGTAGTGGTGCAATCCCACTCTGGTACAAGTCGGTCAAGAGTTTGGTACTCGAAAATGAGAAAAACGTA